AGGGACAATTTCTTCTCCAAAAGGGTTCTCAAGGCCTGTCTCAGGCTGCCCAGGGCAGTGGTGGAGTCCCCACCCCTGGAGGGGTTTCCAAGCTGTGGAGATGTGGTGTGAGGGACACGGGGCAGTGGGGACCTGGCAGGGCTGGGGGAATGGTTGGACTCAATTGTCAACTGAGCATTACACCCATGTCTCCCATCTCCCACATTATCTGTTCTTTTTAGGGGTTTGCCTGGACTAGATTTTCTTACCTGAAACTTTTCCAAGTGTATGGTGGTGTCTGGGGACACAGGAAGCTTGTAGCACCTTCCACTTACATAGAATGGGTATCTACATTTCACAAAGCCATGAGTTGCTGTAATGGAGAATGAGAAGAGGAGGAGTAACAATCTAAAATCCATTTTGTAAGCATTTCAATCAAGAACAATCTGATCTTTCTTAAATGGATTAAGAAACTAATATATGATAGCACACTGGTAGATCCTTCATAGGTATTTTGCAAAAAGTTTATGTGGCATTTCCAAAAAAAAAAAAAAGCCAAATCATTAAATAGCCACAAAAGCTGCTGAAATAAATCCAAAGCAGCTGCTCTAAATGGATGTGGCTCCACCAATCCTCACAGAATTTTCTACAGTTGGGCAATCTGAATGCCTCTCTAACTTCATTGTCATGAAACAAGAGCTAAAGTCGACCACATTTTCCTCATTTTTCTTTTTGCAATAGAAGCATCTGGCCATGCAATGAAAAAAACAGGTTTTTGGTAGAGTTAAGCAAGCAAGCAAGCTCCCAAACTGCCTCTAAGGCCACTTGGATCAGAAAGGGAGGGGATGAAATATTGCTTTATTTACAGGTGTGGGGGTGAACCCCCATCTTCTCCTGATCCACTTCACTCTCCCTGGGAAGAATTTGCTCCCCTCAGGGGTGAAGTGAACTGAGAAGGGGACATGGGATGGAAGGAACCCTGTGGCCTGCCCAGCACCTCCCCTCCTGTACCTCCAGGTCTGAGGAAGGTGATAACAGCTCTTCTCGACTCCTTGTCGTAGGTCACATTTTCTACTTCTCCCCCTCCTCCATTCTCAGACTTGTAGAAATTCAGCTCTAATTTGTCTCTCATCCACTCCTCAGGAATGGGTAGCTCAGGTATTTCTGAAACGTTGATCTTCTTCCCAGAGATAGTGACATGCAGCTAAAAAACATAACATTTTTGTGCACTCCATCATTAAAAACACCCAAAATCCTGAACCCAAAGCTTTTTAAACACTGCCTTTTAAAATTCCTATCTTTATAGTTTTATAGTCAGCTGATTACCTCAAATTTGATTCCCATTTCAAGTGTGAAATCCTTCACTCTCATATCTGCTGTTTTGTCGTTGAGGTTCACAGTGTGCTTACCCATTTTTTTCAGTCTCTGGGCAACTAAGGAAAAATCAGAAGTTTTCAGATAGGAAAAACCTTGTTTAATCATGATAAACCCCAAACTACTCCCCCATCTCTTAAGCAAAATCTCTTGCATCAATAAAAGAGAATTATAAGAGTCAGGCAAACAGAACCCACTGTCCCTGGGATATCCCTTCAGGCACAATTTTCTGTAAAATCTCACTGCTTCTAGGCAACAGGTAAAATACAGAATCTTTAGAGCAGGCAAGTTAAACATTTCTATAAATCCTTTCCCTTTGGCAATGCAACACATCAGAGACATGAATTTTATCCTTCAAACATGCACCATACCCAATAAAAGAGAATTATAAGAGTCAGGCAAACAGAGCCCACTGTCCCTGGGATATCCCTTCAGGCACAATTTTCTGTAAAATCTCACTGCTTCTAGGCAACAGGTAAAATACAGAATCTTTAGAGCAGGCAAGTTAAACATTTCTATAAATCCTTTCCCTTTGGCAACGTATTGACATCAGAGACATTAATTTTATCCTTCAAACATGCACCATACCTTCTTCATCTTCAAAAGTAAGCAGTGCTTCATTTTGGTTCAGCCTGAATGGGATTTTTGTGGTTGCACCAAAAACACAGTGAGTGTTTGCATCTGGAGCACCCTTCATGTCTTCCAGGTGAGTGAACTTCAGCTGCATCTCTGCTACTTTTTTTTTCATCTAATATTTTAGAATCAAGGACAAAAAAAAAAGGCATTTCTGTAATTCTACTTGTACTTCTCTGTTCCTGGGATTTGTGTCAGTGAAGTGGGTTCCCCCCTCTCTGATTAACTTTGAACTTAAACTTGACCTTACACAGTCAAAATTCAGCAGAAGCTTGTACTTCTCTGTTCCTGGGATTTGTGGCAGTGAAGTGGGTTCCCCCCCTCTGATTAACTTTGAACTTAAACTTGGCCTTACACAGTCAAAATTCAGCAGAGGGAGAATACCTTTGGTATCTAAAATTTGCAAAATGCTCAGAGTCATTTGCCATTTATTTTTGCCTAATTGTGTCCCTGATAAACAGCCTTTTATGTTGCCTTCTTAGTGAAACAGAAAAAATCCAAGTATTTTATTACTAGGAGAGATTAAAACTCTTCCTGTAAATGTTGGTTAAGGAAGATAGACTTGAAAGAGTTTCAAATAACTCCTTTTTTCCCCCTTTACATAATTATTTCAAAATAAAACCCTGTGCAGAAGAAAAACACTGTTTCAAGATAAAATAGAGTCACTTATGTTCAAAACTAGCAGCTTATCTGTGAGCCCACTCTCCTTCCATTCCCCTTGGGCCATGGGAAGGGAGACACTCCTACAGATAAATCAGACCCTCAGTGTAGGCTCCTGTTCTTCTTTTCCCTATCCAATGACTGCCTGGGAAATTTAGGAGGCTGGACTTCATAACTGACATCTAAACTTAGAAATTTAGAGAGCTAAAGCTAATATTGATATATTTACTAAGGTAGCACTGTAAACATTAAAGAAGGTAACAGCTGCACAGAGTTTCAATCTCTGTGTAAACAAAAAAAAACCATCACAGTTTCCAATTTCTTGTCAATTCCCCAAAATATTTGGGTTTGTCCCAATTCAGAAGGAAAACAGGTTTTTTAAAAGCTGAAGCTTCCACAAGGGAAGCTCCCATTTCTGACCACCACAGAATCTGCAGCAGTTTCCCCCAAATACACTTTGGATCTTGAGTTGCAATCTATTTAGGTGCTTTCATCAGGTTGCCAGCTGAGTTCTTTCTGATTTGGAGGAAGACAAGTGAGACTATGATCAAATCAAGCTCAATTTGGGCTACAATAAATGCTATGTTTGCCATATAACAGATTTATTCCCTTTCTGCCATCCTCTTGCCAAAGAAATATAAAATGAGAGCACTTGAAAATTACTCATGCTACATATATTTTTTTTATTCCAGTGTCTTGTAATCTTTTTCTGCTTGTTTTCTTTCCTCTCATGTTTTCAGTATCTCTTGCAAAATAAGAAAACAAAACTTCAAGCTGTATTTTTAGATGGAAAGCAGTAAAGGTTCATATTCTGAACAGCTAGATTTGACAAAATAAAAGATAAAGACAAGTTGCAAAACCTTCCAAGCCTTTACCTGACCAAACTGTGAAACCACGGAGCTGTAACCTTCAAGTTCTTCTTTGAGCTTCTCAATCTCTTTCATCAGCTCAGCGTTTGCTTGGTTCAGGAGGCAGAGTTCTTCCTACAGCCCCCAAAAAAAGCAGGAAATGCCATATTGAAAGAGCTTTGCATAGTTCCATCAGTTCCCACGGGCAGAGCCTACCTCAACACACCAACATTTTAGCTTTTTGTACCACGTGTGATCTTAGTAACAGTTACTCCCTTGGATGAAAAGATTTGCTACTTTTCCCTCTTTATATTCCTTCAGGGAACAACTCTTCCCTCTGCTACCTACTTCCTCCACACCAATGAATCCTCAGTGGGCATGAAGTCCATAAGTACTAAATCCAGTCTTATCCTGGACAGGGAACACAACAGAGTGAGAAGGAAACTCAGCAGATGTAGTCAGCCCCAGCCATCCACAATGAGAAGACTGCTCCTTGAAAGCTGTTACCTGCTAGAGATGTTTAGACCAGTTCCCAGAAGCTGAAGGGAATGTTAAAAGCCCAATGATAATAAAAAAAATTCTCTCTTCTGGGTATAAAATCCAAACAATTTATGCTTGAAGAACCCAAACCAACTTTTGGAAAAATCTCCTGCCAACCTGAATATACTTAAGCTATTAATTATATTTTAATAGCTTGTGATATTGAAGCCATAATTTCTCCTCAGTGATTTACAGGCCACACCCAAAGTCACTGAAACCACCTCCTAGACAGGCTCTGGAAACACATCCTGTTACTGTGCCCACAACTGCAGAAGGCACATCGAGGTAATGAACCCATTAGCTTTAGAAGCAATGAGTTCTAGAAAGAAGAGTCCTCTTCAGACAGGTTCTGGTCCTTGCCCAGCTCATTGTCACCTAAGAAATATAATCCCTTGGGTGCTGTAAGGTCTTAGAAGACAGGCTGGGAGTTGCCAAAATAGTGGAATGAACCCGTTTGATTTTATCTGATTCACACAAAACAAACTCATCTGTTAGCAGAGACTCTTGGAAGACTGGTTTTGTCACTCTTAATCTTCCACACCAACCAGGTCTCAGTTTTGCCCTCCAGCATGGCCCCTGAGACTTATTTTATCACTCTGGTTCTTAAGCTGCCACTGAAAAGCACTGTAGTCATACAGTCTGCAAACAGGCAAAGCCATTTATACTGAAAAGGAATTAATCCCTCTTCTTTTCTCTAATCCACCCCTCCTTCACAGCTCCCCAGACACTAAGAGCTATGAGCAAGCCTTCTCCATACCTCCAGGGTGCCCCTGGACATCATAAAGTCCTTGTGCTGTTTCTCTTGCAATTCCACCAGCTTCATCAGCTCCTCCTCGGCTTTAACATGCTCTTCATCAGCACTTAATTTACAGAGAAGAAGGTCAGCTTTTGCTTTCTCAGCTTTTTCAGCTCTTTCCTGGATAGCAAAAAAGAAAAATATTTGTAAACTATTTTTTTCTTCCACCTTAAGGAAGCCCTTTGTTTACTTTTAAAACTCTGGATATTTTTCTTAGCCTTACAATGTAGTTACCACTGAGATCAACACAAGCAGGTACCATTAAAGAAGAGAGAACAAGTTAGGCAAACAGGTTATAATTTGGGGAGAGCTGATTTGGGTTTAGAAGGATGGACTCAAGGTCTTCCAAGTGTCTTTCAGCTCCTCTCCAGGATTCTATGGGCTTTATGGAACTTGCCTTCCACTTCTTCAGTTCTTCTTCAAGTCCTTCCATCTCATCTTTTGATGTGCTACAAGGGTCAGCAGGTATCATAGCCTGGAGAGAAAAGAATCAGCACCCACAGGTTTGTCAGAGGACAGTGTACACCATGGAATTTTAAAGAAAAAAAATGCATTCAGACACTTTAGGCCAAATCATTGAACTGTTTTAATGACAAAAATCTAAGAAAATGGATCCTGGCCAATAATTATTTGTTAACTATTCACCTAGAAGTATTCACTGGCTAATATTTTGATAAATAATAAAAGCAAGTTGTCTCAGTGTTCTCTCACAGGCAGTTAAGACTCTCTAACCCATAAATGTTTCTTTTTATGCTCTCACAGCAGTTCCTGTAAGGGAAGGGATAAAGAAAATACAAGAAAAAACGTTCAGAACAGGATGTTTCCAAGCTCAAAGAGACTGGACAATAAAAGGTGACATCAAGCAGGAGGAAGGTGATAAAAGAAGCATTTCAGAAGTCAAGCACTTCAGGGCAGAAGTTGGCAAGCAGGGGAAAACAACAACTGGTTAAAGCCCAAGAACAGAGTAAATCTTCTCTGTTCTGTTTGGTTTCTATGACTGCAATATTCTGCAGAAAAGAGGAAAAAAAAATCCAAAGAGACCTGTTGCAACAATCCCTCCCTTTTACTTAAGATTACATAAAACTTGAACGTGAACCATGAATTTTAGGCATGGAAAACGTCGGAATTAGATAATCTTGTCAATTCTCAAGGTAATACTGGGTATTTCCTACAAACAATAAACCAGAAAATCCTTTTTTCCACTCCTTTGTGCCGTTTTCATTGACCATTGAGCAAGAGGGAAATCCCCATCTGTATATAACTTAAAAATGGGGAAAATATTCCGTTGCTCAAGGGATTGAGTGCAGGAAAGCAGAAGGATACACGTGCACAGCTGGCAAGAAAGGCTGCCTGCTTTTTTTTAACTGAAAAATGCTGCAAGACAAGTTTTCATCATGAAAGAAGGAAAGGAATAACAAGGAAAACACAAGAAATCCCAGGGAAAGTCCCACCCAAGCCACTTGCTGCGCTGCAGGAACTGAATCAAGGGGAAAAAAAGGAAATTCCCCCAAGAAACCAGGAGAGAGAGAGGAGCCAGTGAGGCAGGAGAGGAAAATCCTGTCAGAATCTGAAGGAGAAGAATCAGAATTTGAAGAATCAAAGAGCCACTTTGGAACGGCTCTCTCCCTATGGAAACAGGAGGTGGGAACAAGGAATGTCCAGAGTATTAAAGGATGGAAGAAGGTGAGACAAAAAGTTGCAAGAAGTGCCCTCCTAGCACGAACCTTCAGAGATACTAGTGTCAAATAAAGATAGTTTTCCAGGAAATACTTACAAAACCATTATCTATTAAAGATCGGGGGGGGCTCTCATCCACCCAAACCTGAGAAAACAGGAAAAAACAAATTACACCACTGTGTGTATTGGCTTTTTTTTCCGCAGTAAAATGGAATCCCAGAAGCTGTGTTGAGCTAAAAGAATTTTCCCACGTCAATGTGGCATCATTTTAGAGGCAAAAAGTGAGCTGTGCTGGGTTATCTGCAGCCTCCTTCCTTACTAAACTTAAAAACCCAGAGACATAGGTGAGGAATTCTGCCTTGAACAACTTTTTTTGTCCTGAAACTTATCGCTCTCACCTGGGAGCTCTGAGCTTGCCTTTGACCCAACACCACCCTTACCTGTTGCATTCAACCACCAGGCTCGATTTGAGGTTAGCGAGCCAGAAATCTCCTCCTGAAGCGGGGTAAGTGAGCAAAACTTGCTGATTTGTTCCTGAGAGAGGAAAGCGAAAACGTCAGGAGGGGAAAACAACTCCCCGGCCCCTCCGCGGTGTCCCGGGGGCAGGGAAAAGGCAGCGCAGGGCCGCGCCCCGAGCTCGGGCCGGCGCCGTCCGAGCCCTCAGCGCCCGGGAAAAGGC